ACAAAAATCAAATTGCGCCTCATATTGGGCTCTTACAGTGTATCAGTCAATAAGAGATTTATTTCTCTTGGTAAACACAGCTTGAAAGTACCAACACCTAGTACATCGCAGTAGGTGTTATTTTCCATATAAATCCGCTGGTTACCGGCTGCAATCTCTTTCAATTCTGTGAATCCGTCCTTGGTCCTCGAGACATGTCAAGTGGAGGCTTAGTCAACCCACCAATTTCTCAGGTCATGATCGGCAACTATTGATTATAGAACTATGCAGATCAAGTCATTTCTCTTATTTTGATTATTTTGAGCATGGTTGTTATTTTTGTTCTTATTTTTATTTTTCAGCTTAGGACAATTAAACTTGATGTGACCAATTTTCTTACTATAAAAACAAGTCTTCTCAACCTTATTCTTTTGATTTTTAAAATTTCTCTCTTTTCCCTTATACCTATTTTTTTTCTGATAATTGAAACGTTTCTTGGGGATCTGAGAAGATGAACTTTGGGCAAAGTGGAGCTCATTTGACTTCTTCCTCATTCTTCTTTCAACTTCAATACTAAGATGCATGAGAAGATTTAACATGGTTATCCCATGTGCAGAATGGTTTAATGCAATTCCAACAAACTCCCAAGATTGAGGGAGATTGTTAAGGACAATAGACAATTGCATGAGATCGGGGACTGGATTCCCGGCTGCAGCAAGGTCCTTTGCGTGCACTGTCATTTTATTGACATGCTCGATCACTGAGTCTGTTTCTTTCATTATACAAGAATTGTATTTTTCTAACAACAATTGTACATAGGTCTTAGAAGTAGTCCCATACTTTTCAGATAGGGTGCCCATCATACTTTAAGCTGGGGTGTAATCCTCAAAGACTCTAATTAAATCATCTTCCATAAAAGCTCAACATAGTAGTCATAGCAACTATGTCATCTTCTAACCATTTTTCAAGTCGCCTTCTGGCTTGACCATTGACATTAGGCTTTAAAACTGGTGGTTTTGTTTTTAGGACATAATCTACCCTATCTTAAAAAAGAATATATCCTATTTTTCTTTTCCACATATAAAAATTGGTCCCATTGAGTTTTTCAAGTTTAGATAGTTCTGACATGAGTAGCCTAAATGTCATTTTAAATTTTTTTTTAGATAATACCTAAAAGTTCAAATTTTTTTATTGTGTTTAAGAAAGAGTTGTCTGCTAGTTAAATCACTGGGTTTGCCGACTCTCACTGAGCTGAGACCTCGAAAGAAAAAATTTCTCGAACAATTTATGTATGCACTGCTGTGATGTAACAAAAAATTAACAAAGTAAGGCAACAACTACTTTATGTCAAATCTTGCATAAACTAAGTTTTATAAATATATGAATATGTTTAGCATAAGAGAGAGAGTCTACAATGATATTTGATATTTTCAACAAAAATATGGCATTGCATAATCATAAAAATAATGAATTCACAAAATCAAGATCATGAAATTTTCTAACTTAAAAAAAAAATGACAAAGCATAGAATAATTATGCAATGCAATGATAATTATTATGCAAATAAAATCTATGGAAAATCCCTAAATCATAAGCCACAAAAAAAAATGCATGCAGTTGATATAACAACCCTTACTTGAATAGTTGTTGTATGCATAACAATTTTCAATAATTCAATAAAATTATCACTAATTTTCAGCAATAAAATATAGAAGAAAGAAAGGTACAGGCCAACTAATTTTCAGTAATTATATGTCTCTTTGTCTCTCTCTCTCTCTCTCTCTCTCTCTCTCTCTCTAAAATTACACTAGTAACTCTATATATCTCTCTCGCTCTACAATTAAGCAGCAAATTTTATCTTTAATTTAAATTTATTTTATTTTATTATTACAGAGAGAATTACCACTTCAATTTGGCCAAGTGGTTAAGGTGTGTGGTTGCTATGTGCACGAGGTTTAAAAAAAAAGAGCGAACTCTTTTTGAGTTAAAGAAGAGCAAAAGCAAAAAGGCGAGAAATTTACTGAAATGCAGTGAGTTTCATTGTGATAATCAATGAAAAAGAAAAAACATGTTAAAAAAGGGCTTGGTAAGAAAAAAAAAAAAAAACGCTTAACTTCTGCTTAGGTAAATATTAATGGGCAAGCTTTCTATGCTTCCCCTACAGTATAGAAGTTCTATCCTCCTCCTTATCCAACCATCCATTCTGAATGTAGGGCTAAGATTGCCCCAATCACAATGTCACACCTGTACACTATTTTAGTTTTAATTTATTTCTATAAACTATTTTGACACCAAAATCTGGACGTCCATTCCTCTATTAAACTCGCAGTAGCGAAAAATATAAAAAAATATTTTTAATAAAATAAAATGACCAAAATACCCTTAAAAATTGCAAGGGGTATTTTGATCATTATTTTTTATTTAAATAACGATCAAAGTGACCAAAATACCCCTAAAAATTTCATGAGAAGATGGCGTGTACCAAATTTCATATTCATACAATTTGTATAAAATAAAATAAAAATAAAATACTTTGAAATGTCGAATCTAAGATCAAATGGTGAGTGACTCTCTTGATTAAAATTGGACAGCTGGATGGTAGCGGAGGATAGAACTTTATACTGTAGGGGAAGCATATAATTCACTGCAAGAGCTAAGTATCTATCCAAATATGTACGAGATCTATCAGTCACCGACTTGCTATATACAGGAACAATGAATCATACAATGGCTATCTATGTATGAGCGTCAATAACCTTATCAATAAGATATATGGGTATCAAGAACAATGACTCAACAAGTTATATATGAATCATGTCGGCAAGAAGGTGAATTAAGAGTAGAGGATTATGAAAAAGAAAAAAAGAGAAAAAAAGATATATATAAATAAATAACAATGGATCAATAATTTTATCAATAACTTTATCAATAAGAGGTTAAGATAGGGGTAGTAAAATACCGTACACCAAAAAATCATCAACAATGGAAAAAATTACGACTCATACAATTGTGATTCATAGCTCAAGCGACAGCTGTAGAGAGCCAAAATTGAGAATAAAAAATTTACAGCAAGATATATGTGAATGGCAAAGCACAATATCAAAATTACTGTAAATTAAACTCAAGATAAAATACCAATAAAAATGAAAAATAGAACTTGAGATCTGTAGGTTATGAGCCCACGACAACTTCTGATACCAATGTTGAACTCTCAGGATTAGGGGTAGTGTCGTGAGACTATCGATCGCAGAGATTAAACATTTAACAGAACTGTGAGAACTCTGTAAATTTTTATGTACCTCTCCATGGCCATGAAACCCTTCTTAAAGAGGGATGGAGGAGGCCGTTCTCCAACGTTCGGCTTCCTCCTAAAATCTCTGAAAAAAAGTGGCCCTGTAATCTTGAGAAGTGGGTAGTTACTTTTTAGCCGTTAGATAACGACACTTTCTCTCTAAGAAGCCTCCCTATTTTAGTGATAAACATTCAATTATAAGAGAAAAAAATATTGCACGTTTAAAGACCCCATGGCCACACACACATACCAACAAGCACCACGTGTTCCTCCCAAAATGTTGTTTTTGCAACTCTAGGATTGTGCCATGGCGGACCTAGTACACTTCCAAGGATCCCTAAGAAGCTTTGTTTCATCAAGCTTCCTCTTTCTCACTTTAGTCCAAATAGATTCACACCTTTGTTCAAATATTGTCCTTTATAGTTTTGACTACATTGCCCCTCGACAGTCACATCCACCACCATGAATTCATCTTTTCCAACAAATAATCTAATGAAAAAAGTTTATATAAGGTTGCAACCTTAAAATGTAGAATTACAGATGCACCTCAAAAGTCCATCGGAAAAGGTTGTTTTAAGGTTGAAAAAACCTCTAATTGATCATCTTGATAACGAGATGTATGAATATGAAAAAAAAAAAATATTTTGAGTCCCAAAAATAGTGCATCTTACAATACATTATCTAGACCGTCTATTTTCAAGATTTTCATATGTTTATAGATCTACTTGATTTTAATCATTTTTGAAGTATAAAATTTTATCGTTAGATATGAAAATAGATTTTGAGTAATCCTAAAAACTTTTTTACCAAAATTACATATAATAATAAAATTTGGAGGTGCGACTTAATTGGATCTTGCAACCTTATAGAAACTACACCTTAATCTAAGTCTCTTCGGCAACAAAAACTCCTACGAACTTTGACTCGCTCAAAAACTATGTTAGGTCCCTTTACCAAATCCCAATAAGCGAAGGAATTCCCCACTCCATTCATACGGTTCCAAGTCGGTTTTTAGCCATTGGAGGACCGGCTCGATCCACCGGTGCAAATTTCAAAACATTTATAAGAAAGTACCACATTAATTTGTCCAAATAAGTTATTAGAGCATATCCAGCATATGTATGCTACACTTTTGTCTATTTTGCTTATCAAGGCACGTTAATTTGGTTCAAATAAAATGCAAAAATAGGATTGTATGCCATAAGATTGATTGTTTGAAACCCTGCATGCACCTCATGCTGTCAGATGTTGACTGAGATGGCTGTGAGATGTGCAATTTCTCCAAATCACCTCATGCCGCCCGATGTTGGCTCAGATGGCTGAGATGTGCAATTTCTCCAAATCAAAATTTTTATTAGGCCAATGAGTACACAATCAAAGTAAAGGGCACCTTCAAATAGTGTCAAGAGATGTGGTTTCAATTATGGAAATCTTTGTGATAGCATTAAAATATATTTTTAAAATAATATAGATCGAGCAAAACTTGAAAATCTTGAAAATTGATTGTCCAAAAATGTGTTACAAGATGCATTGTTTTCAAAACTTGAAATCTATTTTTTTCTCATATCCATGCATATTGATGTCGAGATGATCAAAGATATTTGAGCATCAAAACAACCTCTTCTAGTCAAATTTTTGAGGTGAGCTCTAATAAGATTGTTTACAGGTTCGGCTCTTTATAAACTTTTTCCCTTACCCAAAGATCATAATTTACACAAGAACAAGGGCCTTAAGGCCTAGAAATGAGGGCGAGAAAGGAGTTGAGGGCGGTATGGGATGTTCCGCCCTCCGCCTGTCGGGCAGAATCCCTCAGCCTCAACGCCTTCTCTCTCACCTCTGACCCCTCTTCCGACGCCATTAGACTCCTCACTGCTCTCTCCACCGCCTCCGCAATCACGAATCCGTCCCCCTCATTCAACTCCCTCACCGCCACTCCCATCCCGAGAATTTTAGTCACGAGATGCGAGTTTGCCGGTTGGTCTGAGTGCATCGGCCAGGTCGCAATCGGTACACCCATAAAGATGCTTTCCATGCACGAGTTCCACCCACAGTGGCTCAGGAACCCGGCCGTCGATGAGTGACCCAGTATCTGGAGCTGTGGAGCCCAGTCCCTCACAATGAATCCTCTCCCCTTCACCCTCTCCTCAAAGCAGTCCGGCAGACTTCGTGGCTCTTCAGAATCGTCCATGGCTAATATGTCACCCTTGTCGGCATGCCTGAGCACCCAAAGGAAGGGCTGCCCACTGGCCTCGAGCCCCTCCGCGAGTGCTCTCACCTGCGGTGCTGATAGCGATGATATCGTCCCGAACGAGACATACAATACCGATTCCTCTGCCTGCTTGTCCAGCCACTGTATGCAGCCATGTTGTCTTTCTTGCTCTTGAGGGCGTGGGCTGAGAGGTAGGATGGGGCCGACTGCCCATGCTTTATGCGGCAGCTGCTGTAGAAATTGACCTTCGATCGCTTCAAAAGTGTTGTACAGGATTCCCTGATCAAATTTCAGGGGCTGCTGCCTACGTGCAATGGAGGCCGCAAAGCCCTCATAGACACAAAGTGAACTGGGGGGCAGAACCCTCAAGCTCTCGCCATGCCCAAGTAGATGGACTAAGCCACAGGCACTGACACATCGATAGCCATATGCCTCCGCATTGGGGGTCCTGGAAGCAGCAGCAGCAGCAATAGAGACGAGCGGATCATGCACCACAGCCACACGACCGTAATTTCGGGCGAGCGAGCGAGCGAGCGGACAGGGTCGCCCAGGGGGCCGAGAAGGTACTGCGTGGAATCCAAGATAGACTGGAGGTGCGCTGGGAAGTTGTGGGCGGAGTCTGGGTCCGGGGGTGAGATGTGGGAGGGGAAGGAGATGGAAGGAGAGGTTGGCGATGGCAAAAGGGTCCCAACCCTCTGCTCGTTGCGTGGCTTGCCGCATGTGGGTGTCTGAGCACGCGAAGACCACGCGAAGGCCGCACTCGGCTAGCGAGCGGGCGAAGTTGAGCAACGCGTTGAGGTGGCCTTGGATCGGGAATGGCACCATCAGCACCACCACTCTCGACCTGCGTCCATCCAAGCCCTTCTTTGTAGGTTGCATTACATCACTCCCCTATGCATATTCATATACATGGGAACAGATTGCTTGACCTTATCATCTTTTGCCTTGTTTTGTTTTGTCAGTGCAAACCGATTGGCCTAAAACATTAAAAAAATTATTGTTTAATTGGTTTTCTTTCTAAAAGACACTATATCAAATTTTAAAATAGAGAAACTATTTCAAAATTTTAGATAGAGAAACTACCTCAAACTTTACGTTTTAGAGTGTGAAAACATCTTAAAATTTAAGAGAGTAACTATATCAAATTTTAGAGAGAAAAACACATAAATTTTTTTAGAAAAAAAACCTATTGCAAAAATTTTTAGAGAGAATTTATCTCAAATTTTAGCTTTTAGAAAGATAAAGTATATTAAAATTTGAGAGAAAAACGGTTATATTTTAAAGAAAAAAATTGCTTTAAAATGTTTCGAGAGAGAAGCTATCTCAAAATTATTGAAGAGGGGACTATCTCAAGTTTTAAATTTTAGAAAGAGTATCTTAAAATTTTAGAAAAAGAAACTATATTAAATTTTAGAGAGAGTAAATCACCTAAAATTTTAGAGAGAGAAATTATCTTTTTTAGATAGACAATTTCAAATTTTAAATTTTGGATGGAAAGTATCTTAAATTTTAGAGAGATAAACCATATAAAATTTTAGAGAGAGAAACTATCTCAAAATTTTTATAAATACACTATCTCAAATTTTGAGTTTTAGAAAGATAGTATATAAAACTTGTATAGAAAAATTATATGAAGTTTTGTTACCAAACAATAAACATAGAAGTGATTACAAAGAAACCATGAATTTTGTATGGTTTATCCAAACAAGACATTTGATGAATCCACATTTGAGGAATTTTTCCTTAATTTTGAAAATCCATACATTTTTTTGGATTTCAAATATCTAGGATTCCTATTTTCCTCGAATCCAAACGAGCATCAACCACTCTTGGTAACGTGCTAACGTATAAACCGAACTCGTGATGCACGATCTGTCGTGCTAAAGTATTCTTTTCGTATGACTTTGCAACATTGCACTACCCAGGGCTTTATTATAAGGAGAACTGTTAGGACTGTCCAAGCCTGCACTTGTTACGATGCGGGATTGGAGATCTACGCCATCCACCAAGGAAAATGTAGATCTGCATCATAAATAAGAGTCTTAAAAAAAAATAAAAAAATAAAAAAGCAAAGAAAAGAAAAGAAAAAAGAGAGGTAAAATCAACAATTCAAATATTTTTTTTAAAAAATATCATTTCTAATTTTAAAATTTATTTATTTTTACAGATTAATAATCTATGTATTAAACATTATATATTTTTTTAAAAAATTAAGATTAAATTCTATTTAGAAATAAATTATGAAAGGCCCACATTTGTGTGTCCGTGGACTCATAGAAATCGTGTCCTTAATTTATGACAAACTTTCATGTTCTATTATTAAATGCCATATCTGCAGCTTTATTTTTAGGAGAAATTACAGAAAAAACCCAAGACCACACATCCCTTACTTTTTTTTCTCAAAAAAGCTATTCTATAAAATTACCTCTCAAGAGAAAAATTTCACTTGTTTTAGACAGAAATGCTCTTCTCGTACATAAAAATCATTTTGGCCAGATTTGACGTGGACTTTTAGAACCTAGTACCACATTGCCGGAGCACACCATCACATTGGCGAAGCATACAAGTGCCGGATTACCCTAAGACAACTACAGGACCGAAACTGAGTAGTGCCGAACCTCGTAGTGCTGGAGCCCTAGAATCTAGTAAGCCGGACCGCCTTTTGCAACTGTTGTACCGCCCTTTGTAACTGCTTGACTGGACTTACATAGTGCTAGAGCCCTATTGCCGGACCGCACTTTACACAATGCTAAAGTCTTACCGCTGGATCACATAAAAAAGTAAGGGAGGGTAGTCTAGGTAATTTTTTATTTTTTATTTAGTAAGAAGATATTTGCATAGAAAATATATTTTGGGAAAAAAAATGACAGAAAAAATTAGATTGGGTGAGCTTTTTTATAATTTTCCTTATTTTTAACTTTTTTCCTTTAAACTAACATATTGGTAACGTGTTAACGTATAAACGGAACTCGTGATGCACGTTCTGTCGTGCTAACGTTTTCTTTATTTATGACTTTGCAACATTGCAATATCTAGGGCTTTATTAGAATTTATGACAAATTTTCATGCTCCATTATTAAATGCCATATCTGCGTCACAAGAGGAGAAAAAAAATCGCTCAATGAAGCCCCAACGAATAACTGTCCAAAAGAAAGAAACCAAGTGTGTGAGCTATTGATATTTCATTATACACGAGCTATTGATATTTCATTACACAGGTGTGTGAGCTATAAAATCTAAGTGTGAGCTATAACATAATATACGTGTCTGAAATAAGACACTAAGCATATCAATAAGGACATTTAGAGAACCAATATTTGAAATTTGATCTTTAATCAAATTAGAGAGGGAGAAATATAGTTGGGATGTCCTATTGTTTTAGTGAAATTTTGACACCCGTAAAGACCTCACGAGAAAGCCCATTTGGAGAAAGACCAAAGAAACATTGCATGTGATAGGGGTAATACCTCGAGCAATAAAAAATAAAATACAGTTCTACGTATTGACTAAAAGTAGTATATCTAGTGGTCACACATCTTTTCAAAACTAGTGGTAGGCTTTGCTTAACGCTAATCAGCTAATCAGGGTGGGGTGTTTAAGCATTTCTTTAGTCACATTTGTACTTTCATATGCATCTTTCCAATCACAACATTTTATGTTGAGAATGGTTGGTGGAGATTTGGCATCAATCTTAGGGTTTTCAAAATTAAAATTGAGATTCAATTTAGTTTCAAGAAAATTTAAAAATGAGTTAGGATTAGAGGGGATATAGGTGTGATAAATCACAACCATATATATGATAGCTATTGTATGAGTTGTATGGCTAGGTTCTAAGTTCTTTCACCCCTTGGATATCCTAAATTAGCGGCTCAAATTTAATGACAAAGATCTTTCACACTTGAACCGAAATATAAGGCATTAAATCCTGCACACTTCGGAGTAAGAAAGAAAAGCCCATGGAGATACATGCCGCTCGTCCTCCTTCCCTTGGTGTTTTGAGAGAGAAGAAAGAGAGAGATAGTGAGACTAAAAGAGATATATACGGCACAACGTTAGAGTCAACTTGGGGATCATTTTCTACCGACTTTAATTTCCTATGTTTTCTTGAGGTAAATTCATCAATAACAGCAAAAGTAACCTCCTCTAAGTGCTTCTTTAAGTTACTTTAAGTTGATCATTCCATGCTTGATTGACTTGCCCGCATACTTAGTTCATCAGATCAATTTGGCATAGTTTACTTTGAATTTTCCTTTTCTTTTTTTTGATAAAATTCAGAATTTATTCATAAAAAGTATCAATTACATCAACCTTTGCACCTTATCAGCGATCACCAATGAATCCAAACGCACTCCTCTCTTAGTCAAAGAATCAGCCACACCATTAGCTTCCCTATACACATGTTCTAGAGACAAAGATAATAACGACAGAAGATCGAAAATCTGCAACCCGAGCAGTTTAAGTTGCCATGGAAGTCATTGTTCTTTCTTACACCATCTAATAACATTAAGCGAATCCCCTTCAAAAATAAAATCACCTCCTAGATTCCTATCTACAAGAAGCTTCAAACTATTGAAAACTCCAAGTAATTCAGCATGGTTAGATGTTGTAATACCGCAAGGTCTAGCATATACAAGTAGAACATTCCCTAGACAATCTCGGACTACTCCACCATAACCAGCTGGGATTGGATTTCCCAAAGAGCTACAATCAAAATTCAACTTTAGGATTCCCTGATTTTGAGGCTTCCATCTAACATAGGGTCTATTTCTAGGCACATCCAATTGAAATAGATTCGAGAGATTAATCATAACATCAGTTTTGGAAATGCCCCAACCCTATTTAGTAACTGAAAACCATGACCAAAGACTTAATTTGATATTATTGATCACCCTTTCAAGGCTAGAAACCACCCCTTCAAACGCTCTCCTGTTTCTTTCTAGCCACACTTTCCACAGAATAGCTCCCCGTAAAACTTTCTATATTTGTCCTCCAACTTTTAGTAAAGGCACATCCATTTGAACAATTAGGTCCAAAGTATTTTGTGGTAGTACTAGCTGTATCCCCATCAATTGAAAGCACCACCACCAACTTTTGGGAACAAAGGAATACTGAATGAGCAAATAAACCCCCTTCTCCCCATCATCCTTACACATTAAACACACATTTGTAATTATCTTCCCTCTCTTGATGAGATTATCTACAGTAAGGACTTTATCTTGAGCTGCCAACCAAATAAAAACTTGAACTTTAATAGAAATAGACCATCTCCAAATTCGCAAGATAGACTCCAATGTACTCTATCAAAGAAAAGAAGTTTGTAGACAGATTTTACTGAGAACTGTCCATCATTATCTGTCTCCTAAACCAACTCATCCTCTTGATGCTACCTAATATCTGCCTGATAAAGATCATGTAACAACTTGATAAATAGTAGATAAAGATAGCTATGGATCCTATCATAAGGAAAGGTAATATTCCAACTAACCTTATCGCCTATCACTCCTCACATAACATGGGGCACACTTGTTTTTTTTTATAGAAGATGATAGCTATATTTTAGGGGCATATCACCCAACCACTTATGGTACCAAAAAGATATTGATGAACTTGATCCAGGCAACCACCTCACATTGCGATCAACCATTTGCTTAAAGGCATAACTATTTCTCCCAAGAGAACAAGTACTTACCCTACCAACTCCCATATTGATACCCATACCAGACCTATCCCCATCATATTTAGAGGCAAACACTTTATACCACAACTGATATTTAGATTGAATGCTTCGCCACCACCATTTGCATAACAACGTTGCATTCATAAGTGGCAATCGTCTCAAACCTAAACCTCCCTCATCCTTTGGGGTAGAAACCTTATCCCATCGAATGAGGTGATCTTTCCTTTCTTC